TAAAGACAAAAGTTGTTTCGATTCATTTATACCCTTAAAATATTATATTGTCATATATACAGAATATTTATATTTTCATTTTCAGCAGCTTCAGTTAAACTCTGAAGAAGCCAACGGGATGATTGGCGAAACGTCAGCAAGTTCGATTTAACAACAATCGACGCAGCAGGAATTCAGATGTTTTGTAAATTTAGTCATTTTTGTAATAAAATTTCATATAAAATATCATATTTCTAACTCTTACTAAGATATTTTGAATTCTATGTCAAAAGTGTTGGTTGTAGATCTGAATATAACTAAGTATCGATTTCTCCCACTAAAATACTTCATTTTAGAAATAAATAAATAAAGGGTGGTCAAAAATTAATCGTGAAGTCATTTTTTGGAAATGGAAACCATCCAATTTTTATAATTAATCGTATTATTAAAAAGTGTTTCCTTTCCACGCATATGGAAATATCACCTACGAATTTACGTCAGTATTTTCTTGGATCTTATAAATCATGTTTGATAAGTTATTAATATAAAAATTATTTGAATTTGAATAATACAACAAATTTTATCAAAAACCGACAATGTGAATTTGGAATTATTATAATGTTTAATAACCACCCTGTACTTATTTATTTTTAAAATATTTTTAAAATTTTAAAAATTGAAGTAGATCTACAAGACATTCAGTCGGAAAAAGCGATAGACCTAACAAATGTCACTTTTTTTTCCCGGACTCAAAGCCAAATTAACGATTACTTGCATCTTTTTTTTTCGGTATTGTTTTTAATACTTACCACGTACACTTTAATAGATAACAGAAAAAGTTTTTCACTAATTCCAAGTCTTATTCCAAACTGAACCGAAAATTTTTACTAAATACACGAAAAAGTTATAAGTTATATATTTTATTTCCCGGATTATCAGAAATGTTGACAAATTATTGCAGAAAATCATGCATAATCAATTCCCAATAAGGTTTCGAGCGTTTTTTCACAAATAACGAGAAAACAACGTGCTGGGTTCATTATATTATCCGACTTATCAGAAACCGCAAACCATACTTAAAAAGATATTTTTACAGATGCAATCCGAAACCCCGCTCGGAAAAATATTTACATTTCAACGATATTTTGATATTACGAATTTTTTAAATTTAATTTTATCCGGGATTTTCGATCGTTTTGTAGGGACACAAAACAAAAATATTGAAAATTTGAGTCTATTTTTGGCGTGTTTTTTTTGCCGATTATTTTTTATAGAAGAGCAGTCCTATGATATTCAGCCTGTTAAACCAATAAAAGATATACATTTTTTTTATAATCCCTACTCTAAAAGACCTTATTATGCACTGATCACCTAAACCGCAATAAATGTGTTACAAACTCACCGACAAAAAAAACAGAAATACATTTTTCTAATAATTTTTAATTTGTTATGTTTGACTTTATTACAATGCTTTTTTCGCTGGACGATAGGTGAATTTTTAAGATGCATGTCCTTCTGATGAAAATTTGTTTGCTTCAATGCTTATAAATAATTTATAAAATAATGTTTTTAAAATAATCGGATCTTGTTTCTTTTAAGAGCTACGCAGTTTGAAATAAAACCCCGCATTTTTAATTCCAGCGAAAGTAATTTTGACAGTAATGTTGATGAAGGGAAAAATTTGAATAGTCAAAATGATTAAATTGTTAAAAAAAAATAAAGTGTCGGTTGTTTTTATCGGTGACATTATATCCAATAGGAAAAGGACTAAAAAAAAGTGTTGCAAAAGTGCGCGCAAGTGAGTCCAGAGAAGTCCACGAGCAAGTGCGAAACGAATTGCGGCCACACACTATTCAGGTAAACCTCCAGATTCGTCAGTTGGTGGGACCTGCTGCTGTACGCAAAATGAAGTTGGCCTTCGCACTTGCTCTAAAAATCAGACACAATCTGATTCGCTTCGAGCCGCGCTTGGAACTGAACGCGCCGTGAGTTTTGACACATACACATTCGCACTTACCCGCGTGTCTCGACCTGTACAGGCAAGTCTTAATACGTGCCTGCATGTGTATAGGCCGCTTTAGTCTCACTTTCAATAAGGTTTTCAAAATGTGGCAAATGGCACGAAGGTTCTATAAATTTTGCGTGTAAAAAAATGTGTAAAAAGTTGTTATTGCTTATGATGAATATGAAAAATTGAAAAATTAATTAAAACCAAAACGCATAGGTAAGGAAAAGATTAGTAAATGGCAAATGTTTTCATTGACATTGGGCACGCTAAGCAAACGCAAATTTTAGTAGAGTAGAATCGCGATTATGCGATCCTATGATATGATAAATATAATTTTTTTATAAGTATATGTATATATGTATATAATAAACATTCATTTTTGATGAAATCTCTATTATGTGAACTGCAGTGGTTTTAATTATTGCACATAATTGCGAGTCTACGGTAATGAGAATGAAACCTACCAAAGAGAGGCATTTTAACGTGATATCTGGTTTGAAATATGCAAATAAAATAAGTTTACCGCTCTGTATATAAATATCTGCTGTAGACCTGAATAAAATGAGTCTTCACATAACTCAACTTTTTTGGGTACGTCTTTGCAAGAAGCACTAATATAATTACAGAGTGATGTGTGGCGTGAAAATTTCAAGTTATATTTAATTAGCAAAAATGTTGTTTGCATACGTTTTGCATTAGTTGTACAAATATGTAAATAGACTCATTAATATTTTTTTTAGTTTTAATTATCCAGAATTACCACCCAAAGGCTCAATAAAAGCAATTTCATTTAATTTTAAATTAGTCAAAAGATTTCTCGAAATTTGGTGAGCCAAATAAGATAATTTTAATCCAGCAATGATTCTAAGCGGTTTAACAATATAGTTACGTTGTGGAGTGACTTCTCAGGAAGTCGGCTCGAATGTTCTACCCCCATCCCGAGAAGGAGAGGCTGGATAGTCAAGTTTTACCGCGTGACCAATTTAATTTTACTATCGCGTTTGTTGAAACTGAACGATTTAAAAACGTAACAGTACCAACGCAAATGAACACATGTCTGAGAAACTGTTGTCATGTAGCGAAAGTTTCGAGACACTTTCCCGAATTCGGTATATGTTATGGTTTTACGTTTGACGTCAGCAATGATCCAACTAGAAACTATTGATATGTTAAATATTATTTTTGATTAATTTTCATTTTGTCTTCAGGGATTTTCAAAATAATGTGTTGATATTTAATCATCCCAAACTGTTTCGTGGTACGCCCCTGTCTTTTGGTTATTAAAGCATCAGATTCACCGTTCAATTTAGAAACAAAATCCAGCTGAATACTATGAAGACATAGAAAAGACACATCAAAAAATAAATAGGCAACAGTAAGATTTAGTGTTTTAACTCTTAATTAAATCTTCAAATTTTATTTTTGATATCGAAATTTTAGGTCAAAGTATACGCACACACATATTACGTGTCAACGATTGATACTTTGGAAGCGGCTGGCAAATTAAATTAGAAATTTGCACATAGACATGAGTTGCATAACTTAAAATAATTTTCATGTATTTAATTAAATTAATTAATTGAAAAAATTGAGCTAAGATGTTTTTAAATTTCATCCTTTCTCTTAAATATTTGGGACACTCTATATAGATTGTAGTAGATTACTGTCAACAGTAGAAGTCTTTGTGATTATGCCAACAATCAAAATTCCCAGACAAAAAGTAAATTTTAAACAACAAGAATTTGCCGGATATCCAGTGAAAATAATTTTAGGTTTTGCATTTCAGTAACATGTGCAACATTCTAATTTAATTTTTTCCAAAATTTAGCCTAAAGTTTGTACCGAACACAAAATTTAATTCAATTTACAGCACGAAATTTTAAATTTTGAGTTGGAATTTTAGGCTAAAATTTTCTTCAAAGTTTTTCCTAAAAAGCGTTAGTATTAGGATACATATTTTATTTTTGATATGTAATAAGTGTACCAGATAATTATTGTGTAAGATAAAAAAACAAAAGGACTATTAATATTTCACACACTATATTTAGCTAATAAGGGCCCTTTATTTCTTATTTTAAGATGAGAAATACACCCGTAATCTAAAACCGTGTATCCAACAGTTATACGCTTTATACGGAGTGGTTTATTGATAATATGCAGCGTATTTTAAAATAAATGCGAAAAACTTAAGGGGATGATTCGTACAAATTTGGCGGTTTTTATTTTTGATCTTAAAAAGAAAAAATTACTATTACTATTACTAAATGAGTGGAGAGGATTAAATTAGAGTAGCTCCGGTATTTTTCCTAACTAAATTTTAAAACAAAACATATGAAATGAAAATTTTTTAAAGTTTTATTTTGAAACTTTACATTTAGAACAAAATCTAAAGCAATGCATAACGAGATAAAAAAATAGATAAAAAAAACTTCTTAAGACATTTCTTATCATTGCTCAGTTAGTTTGAATACAAAATAAGACTAATTTAATCAAATTTTGTTTATCTAATCATTTAATTATTCATTAATAAGAGTTAATTCAATAAAGGTGAATTTATACAAAATTGTAGTTGGTTAAAGTTCGAACATTCGGATTAGAAGTTGCTGTAATAAATATTGTTGAAGGGCAACTGCAGAAAAATACCAGGTAAATTACAGCAGAATTAAATACTGATGCCTTAAATTTAGTTAAGAAGAATGATAGGGGTAGTCTAATTCAATCCGCTCCACTCATTTAACGTTTATATAGCAAACTACCTTTTGGTTTTGAAACACTCCGTATAAGTGAGCTGGAGATATTAAACCTTTTTATCAAAAACGTTATATTTCTTGGTTCAATTTTTACTTCATAGACTATGCTAATAATTTTATTACTGTTTACAGAGGGCGTATAGAAACCATTATTGTGCCATAACCAAACCAAAATATGAACCGATTTGGCATTAGAATTAGAGGGAAAAAGTTGAACAACGTTAAAAATATCAGCTTATTTATACCAATACGCACAAACCTACCATGTTTTGAGTAGATAATTTAACTCTCACCATAATAATGACAAAAAGCTTTCAACGCACTACATTTCCTGAACTATCGATACTCGGATATTCGGGGGGCTCGCATGCAAAAAGGAACCTAAAAAAATATTTTTAGGAAAAATACAAGATGTTAACATTTTTGTTGATCGAGCAGTTTTGGTTTGTCTTATTTTAAAGATAATTCCAACGGTTGGCGTTATATATAACAAAAAGAAAAGAAATATATAATAAGAAACCTCGTACATAATAAACATTAATAGAAAAATGCTGGGCATTAACAGCTCAAAATAGAGAAACAAAAATTTAAAAAATTAATTTTATCACTGAATGATTCTGCAATAATGGCAACGTTTTCGCAGATAGCCGGCACTTAAAATTGAAAAATAACAAAATACGTTTGCCAAAAAATGATTAACGTTAAAATTGCTTCACTCACCTTTAATGTCGAGCTTCGGACTATGTAATCAAACTAAACCGTCTTAATAAAGTAAAAAGCAAGAGAGCGAGATAACGAGATAATTAATCAAATGGCAGTGCCGGTAGACACGCGATAATACCCAAGTTTTGAGCCTATTATTTACAAGGGGTTATTCTTTCTTATTCTGTAAAGAAAATTAGGTCTTATAATACACGTACGTTGCTAGTAAACTACGATGAACTACAAACTACAAGTTCTATAGAAATGGCACGTGCGGAATATTGACTTAAGCGAAGTTGAATCTTTTTTATTAAATATTTTATTTTTATATATCGACTATTTATTTGGGCTTGCATATGCTTATATTGGAGTAAAGTTTTTTCCACTACTCTTCCTCATCACAAAACAAAACATTGAATGTAATCTATCTATTACTATTTTTCCGACTATGTCCATGTTTTTGAGGAGATCTGATGTACTCAAATAACTTTATGGAACTCAAGAATTCAAAAGCAGAATGCAGCAAGCAAGAACATCATTGTGGTTTCCTTAAAAATACGTTTATTACGTTACTATATCTTTTTATTCATTCTACGGTATGGAAGAGAGGAAAAGCGTGGTCCTGGTACCAGAACATCTTGACTCAAAAATCATCGTCAGACCAACGTTATTGTTTTGACGAAAAACCTCAACTCCCAATTTAATTTTTAAAATTCAACTGCCTAAAACATTAGGACTTCTTATGCTCGTGTAAACCTTAATCCAAAACAACTAATATACAATAGGACACTTGATTTAGCTTGAACTACTGCAGTTTGGTTTATTGGCCTCCAGGCTTGAAGCGAAATTGAAGGAGCTTGCAGATAATCCTGAATTCTGAGAGCTTTGCTCGCAGTAATTGGCTTAATTACTGCATTACTTATTAGTTACCTACTAAATGATTTAAAAATACCGTAAATCATATCTTCTATCGCGACCGAAACCATGTAGTCCCTGCGTGAGCAGTAGGTCAAACTATGTCATATCATTGCAACGCAAAATTCTTGCTGGTACCAAAATTCTTTCTCTAATAAAAATGCAAGCTTTAGCAGCTAAGCAGCATTAGCAAATTATTAGCAAAATTAGCAGTATTAGCAAATTACCACCTATACCCCTATTTAAGCAGCATATTAAGTCCCGTATTAAAACCAAAATACCTACTATTTTGTTTTTCTTTTAATACATATAACTGTCATAACATAAGTAATTTAAAATTATATATTCGCTGAAGTGGCCCAGTGAAAGGGCTATGCACTCAAACAAGAAATTTTTTTGCTGGGTATTCGGTCATATCAACTCAACTCAAACTAAACTCAGTCTTTCTAAAAAAAGAACTCGATTTCTTTGGACTTACGGAAACAAATGAGATCAATGTATAGAGTCATACGTAACAGACAGGGAGATCACGGTCAAGGTTGAGAGCAACCCCGCAGGGGGGAGGATTGGGTACTCTTTTATTTAAAGATTATGTAGCTGACCTCCCAGAATATCTCGATGGCGCAAACTATATCAATACTGTAACCATTGTAGTCCCGACGAAATCAATAGAAAAACTAATCGCTATACAAAAATTGGAGAATTATTGTTTAAAAAAGCCACTTTATATTAAATACTAAAAAAACTTCGGTAGTTAAGTTCACCGGGCCCTTTAGACGAGTCTAACCAAAAAGAATAATTCTATTAATATCCAATATCGAAAAAATCTTAAATTTGAGAGGTAGCTATTTACTCAAACTAACTAACCAAATCAAAAAAGTTAAAAGAAATTATTGCTATAAAAAATCATCTTTATAAGTGTCTCGTAAGGGACATTGCTAATCGAAACATCACATCTACAGACAATAGACATCAAAATATTGAGAAATCGTAACACTTGTTTTGAAGCCTTTTCATTACTAACCCCAAAATTGTTATTGTTAAATACTAGTTTCTTATTGTTATCCCAACCTTTTCATTTTTTAAGTATTTATTAATAAAGTCAGAAAAAATAACTTCAACTTTTTAAATGGAAATAATTCAAAAATCAATAGAGTTAGACAACCTTTCTATGAAAAATTGAAAATTCTTTCAGAACGAAATTTTCCTTTGTTGTTTTAGTATTAAAGAATAAAATGTCTACCCTACTACACTCTGTCAGTTTTACATGTAAGCAAAACATGCGCAAAATAACAATGAACACAGTCGTAGACTTGTAATCGACCTTTTTCAAATTGCAATATATAAGATACATATAGATAGATAGAAGATGTGACGACTCTATTTTTGTCGGCAGCTGACCATGCAATCGTTGTTACTCTGCTTCGAAGTAAATTTTTCGGCCCTACTGAATTTAAAGAAAAATCCATCCGAAAAGAAAAAAAAAATCCATTATGAAGCAAACTATATTTACAATTTAATTGATTTTTACAATTTTTAGTTTATATTTAAATTATCACAACACACGGAAAACTTTTAATATTATTTGTAGTGCATATGGCGCCACTTTACAAAATGGATTGCAACGATTTGCAAATTTCCTTAAGCTACGCATTGTTGGATGAAATTTTTTTTTTAAATACAGGAAATAAATGTAGTTATAAAATAAATCAATAAAAAATATAAAATTAATTTTTTTCCAATCCCTATTTCGTCAATTACAATTCTGCATCGGGACGCTTAAATCCTAAAGCCGGCTCTGCCATATTCAGAGATATATTTTTGATAAAGGAACTTAGTTTAAAAATTAATGCGTTTCATGCACAAAATTATTTCAAAAATATTAAAATAGATAAAAGTCGGACGAAAATCAAGTTAGACGATGGCATGATTGTACATGAAACAAATTAATTTTTAAACTAAGTCCCTTTATGTACAATATATGGATCCCTGAGGATGGCCTACTGTTTTTGACCGAAACGTACGTAATAAAAATAGTATTTGATCGAATTTGCCCAGGAACATTTCATTTCATTTAACTGAAAACGTATAGAGTATTTTGCTAGTTAATTTAGTATAATAAAGGCACTGCTGTCGGCTGGTAGGTATGTGAAACTTAACGTACCAAAGGATTAAGTTCAATCCTCTAATTTTTATTGATACGATTAGAATTATCAGAGTTTAGCAGACTAATTTTCGGCGTATAAATAAACAGTATTATATACCGGGTGTTTGACTATTATCATTGCGTTCTCCGAAAATGCTAAAAAACTAAGCCAAAGTTGAGCATTGGTAACCCCAACAATATAGGTAAAATCGAAATTCTCGATTTCGAGATTTTTTTTTATAATCTTATATAGAATTACTTTTCGATATCCGTCTTAACTGGCTACCTTTTCAAATTTTTCGAGCTTCATCTTGTGTTGATGTCAATTTTTTTTTTGGGTGTCATGGGATTTATGCAAAATCGAAATTTATTTTTAGCAGTATGTTATACGTTACTCATTAAGTTTGAAAAACCGAAGTATTAAATAAAGATTAAAGTAAATAAAATAATAGGTAAGTAAAGATCGATAATGGAGTGAACGCTATAAAACTATGGTGACTTGATATCTTGCCGGCCATCTCACCGCTTCAGTATTGCCAAATACATGTTTTTTGTCTTCGAACCAAAATTTTATTATAGCGTCATTTACTATAAATAGATACAAGAATTATTTGAAGAAGTAGTGGAAAAGTTATCAAAGAAGGTAATTAACTTGCGAAATAAACTGTTAAAAATATTAAATCAAACTGAATAAGTCGAACCTTTTTCGCCACATTTGCGAAAATCCCAAGCTTTTCAGAAAAACATTATCAGGACCGTCGATACGCAATATTGTCAAGATGTCAAAAGTGAGTGTGGAGATTGAAACACTCCGCATTCTAACCAGCTGTTTAATATTTTACTAAGAAGACAAGCAAACACATTGAGAAAAAAATTAATGTGAGGTGAATATGACACTTACTATTGACGAACTCCTCTTTAAGTCACTGGGGATGAATCAGGCAATAAACTGTAATAGGACAAAGCGGCAGCTGAATACCATTACTTCTTTATAGTAACCCTCAAACAAATAATAAAGAAAAAATTTAAAACATTTTTATTGGTTACTTTTGTGCGTCCATTCTAAGCCAGCTAATTACAGAAAAAATATCTGCTTGCAAATTAATCAACAATAAAAAAAAACATTGTTTCTTAAACCAAAGATATAGTCAGTTTGGTAAATAATAGATACTAACATTCTCAAACTTTAACGTTGTAGTGTAAAAAAAGTTATATTCGGCGATATAGTAAATTTACAGCAGTTTTTAGGGTTTCTCGGTAGTTTAGAATAACATTAATAAGTTCAGTTTCCTGCCACAAAATAGGTTACATATTCTATATAAAAAATATTTAGAGTATACATATAGCATATATACCCAAAAACATTTTCATTGAATTTAATTGAATAACACTTACAAAAATAAAATAAAAACGTAAAAAAATTAGAAGCAAAAATTTTTGCGTCCTCTACTTTAAAATATCAGTTGTGCGCAAAGTGTCACTTTGAGATTTTAGACTCGGATTTGCGTAGATTTTAGGCTCTGATGATGTTTTGACGTTTGTTAAGTCTAAAGGAACGTCAAAAATATGTTCATGGTAGAAAAAATATAGCAAAACGTTTAAAACTGACAATGTTTATATGCATTTTTTGCAAGCTCGCTGGAAAATGGATTTTCTTCTAACAAATGCTTTCAAAATTAAATTTTTTCTGAGCTTTGAAAAAACTCTTTTCTGTTTTTTTTTCGCTATTTAATAAAAAAAAATCAGGAAATCTTTAGAAAAAACAAAACTGTATTATTTTTCTAAAATAATATTTTTCATAATTCAAATGTCCATAACCTCCAGAAAAATTAAAATAAGATATGTTTAGCGCATATTTACATTGAAAGTGAATTAGAATGAGCCTAAAAGACTAGTAAACATTTTGTCTTATCACAATCCCACAATTTGATGTCTCCAATACTTTAAAAACGGAGACCGAGGTGGAGACTTACTTTGCACACGTATATGCTATTGGGTATTGAAGCAATTTTTTTTTTCATTATTTTTCTGTAAAAACAGAATTAACTTACTATTTTGAAACAAATTATTTCAATTTAAAATATGTTATCGTTGACACAGAGTATCATATTATTAATTAATTATTAAAAAATTATGTTAAAAGCATTTTATAATATTTCTTCAACTAAAAAAGGGGCGTAGTGATTTATGAAAAATATTAATAATGCCAATTAGCAAGGTACCTATCAATTTCATAAAATAGCAGCATGCACTGAAATTTGTTAAGCGAATATTTGTTGGTCACGATTATTTACTGTGAATAATATGGGAAAATCATGTGTTTACGCGACAGGAACTATCAGAAAAAACGAGATATATTTATATTCTGCTTATGGGCAATACCAAGATTATTAAGAATATTCCTCAAGGAAGTATACTACAAACAATTTTTGGGATTTACATTTTTAGCAAACTAAGCAAGAAAAGATTTGTATACCTACATAATAGAAACAATTATTGTTATATAATTTTGTTTTAAGGCGTTAGAAAATTATTTATAAAGAAATGAAGAAAACATCGTCTTTAAATAATGTGCGGGAAAGCATAATTAATATTAATCATTTTTCTCCTATGACGCTGTATCTCCAATGAAATTTGCAGCAACGCACTACGTGGTTGCCTTAGGTACATATAAAAAAACAATACTTAATAGCTGTTGCATATAAAAAATTATATTCTCATATTACAGTTGCTGAACGTTAAGTAAAAGTTAATAGTGATAATTAAATATGTGTTAAATTAAAATTTCCTCATTCGTTTCCTAAGAATTTATTTATCCAATAATTCAACTATTGGCAAGAATTTCTATTAAATATATCACCTAATATTGGAGGGTCAGTGGTTTTATCAAATAATTGTCTATAGTTTTTTTGGGCAAGAGACAAATCTTATCTAATTATGCAACACCATCTTATTACATACATCTTTGTTGTATAATGTGAGAATGGAACGAGTTGTGAAGTAGACAATCTAGACTTTTCACTAAATTATCTACTACCCCAACAAATTGTGCAGTAATTTTTAATTAGGTAGGACCTAAGAGATAGTTTATAATAATCGTTGTTTTTATTTAAAATGGTATAATATTTCAAGTAAGTAATGTTTCACAACAAAACTATTATGTTTTGAGGTATAATATAGAAAATACTAGTTATCTAGAATTAAAAAAAAAACTTACAACACTTTACATAACCTATATGTTTACCTGAAATCCTTAAAAAAATGAATGAAGTTCAATTCCAATTATTGCGAACCACGAAATTTATCCGCACTTACGCACTCACTTCGCAAAATAATGTATTAAATCCAATTTCTATCAAGAGAACTTGCATTTAACCAAGGACGATTTCCAGTTACCTTTGGCTTTCACTTGTTGATGTTGTCTTTGTTTGTACAGTTTATTAGACAAAGTAAAGCTATCCGTCTTGGGTCGGTCAGTTATTTCGAATTGCGCAGGCAACCAAAGATACACGTTAATCACGTGTGTTGGGCTACTAGGGTATTGTTTCGTAGTTTCGGATAACCTGAATGGAAAAACCAGAAAAACAAAACTTGACTTAGGTAATATCACAAATAGAGCGCCTTATTTTCCCTTTCTTAAAGATGTGAATCCTTGGGTGATTTTAAAAAGAAAAGTATAAATTCTTAAACTTTTCATCTTTCGAGTTGCAAGGTGTTAAAATTATCAAAATCTAACAAGAATAAAACATAGTGTTTGATCTTTTTTCGCCCATTGCACGATTTTCGATTAATGCAAAAATAAAAATTAAATTAATCGCCATGCTTCTACGAATTAAGGTGCTAGGAATTTTATTATTAGAAGAAACAGTATTTTTCGTCCAGTTTTATACTTTTTTGGAATGTTCTGGTTCTCGAGTAGATCTGTTTCGCAAGGCGTTTGAGGTTTTTAAATGTTTAGTTGTCGACTGTGATCACCGAAAAAATTCAAGATAAACTGCACAACACAACATTTTAAATTCGTTAATAAATTAAAAATAAAATCAAAAGAAGAGTAAACCCCTAGTTATGCCAGCCATTTAAATCATAGATTCAAGAAAAAATAATAACATTTAAATATAAGGAAAAACGATAAAGGAAAATAATTGTAATTAAAAGTGAAAAAGAAAACTGCCTAATATAAAAGTTGTTTCCGTTACAATTTCGCTTTCAGATTCATATCAAAACCTTTTTGGTAATTTTGGGTTTCACATTTTCTTGAACCACTCGGTATATATGTCTGCTTAACGTATGACAATTTTAAGACGCAGACTAAATAGTTTCTGACCAAAATCATGATAATAAATTAACTGACTTTATCTGCATCAAATTAAGTAATGAAATTAATTAACTCATTAATGATTAATTTAAATATAAATTTATTGAATTTATTCTAAAATCGTAGAATACAGTAAGAAATTTCTATTATTATCAAATCTTTTTTCTTTAAATGTTTTTTTTGCTAGTTTCAAAAGGTTTCTGATATAAAAAAAGTGAAATTTCAAATTTCAAAATCGGTGGGACATGGTGGAATGGGTATAAAATCATATTCGTTTAGGTTGGTTGTATAGCAAATTAAATTTATTCTCAAAATAAAAAATAATATATCAAAAAATAATATTCGAGAAATAAAATTTAAAATAATTAGAAAAATTGGCAAGAAACACTCGAACCAGAAAACATCATTACGGTTTTCCGTTTGTTCAAAACATTTTAAATGAAACTTCATAAAGAAGCAGATGCATAGGTCTTATCTAAGAAGTTGTCTATAAAATGTGTGTGAATAAAATCATATTTCTTTTCAAAATAAAAAAAATATCCATATTTAAAAAATTAAATAGATACCAAGAGGTGGTACAAAAATAATATTCGAGAAATAAAATTTAATATCGAAAAAATCTATAACATTAGTAAATAATCAGAAAAATTGGCAAGAAATACTCGAACCAGAAAATATTATTACGGTTTTCTGTTTTTTCAAAACATTTTAAATGAAACTTCATAAAGAAGCAGAGGCAGTAGCAGTATCTAAGAAGTTCTCTATATTCAAATTAATGCAAAAAATATGGTGTCGTGGAAAGTTTTGGTAAATGACACGCATTTGCTGGACACTATTTCAATTTTTATTTGCAAAAGCCAATCAAAGAGCGAATAAAATTAATAAAACAAATAACATTTTCATATATACATAACATCTAAATCACAGAAATTGGTCTCAAAAACACCGAACAATTTATATCGAGTAAACTACCATGGCCTCCATATTTCCAATTTTTTCTCGTGTTTTTGTTTTTCCGAAACACACTCACAGTCCGCATCCCTGTTGGCTATTCTGTTGTTTTCGCACTTGTCTTCGATTTTCCTGGTTAGTTGTTTGAGATGATCTATCGTCATTTCTAAAATATCGACTTTTTCCATTTTTCCTTGCCTTGGCCCGTCCCTTTTAATCGTAAGCAACCCTGGGTCGCAGTTCAACAATATTTGTTTGAGTTGGTTCAAATTGCGTTTCACTCTCCGTCTTACTTTTTTCGTCTTGGGTTTTGTCATTTTCCTCATTCGAAATTGAGACATTGCCCCTTTTGAATTTCACGAGCGAAGGTGCTTTGCTCGGTCGAACTTCTGAACTAAAAATGTCGAATTTTCGAAATAATATTCGCTTTATTAGTTCTGGTTTCCCCTACTAAAAGTTCTACCTAGCGCCCGACACTAACTTTACAACCCCAAATTCTGGTGGCAATAAGATATCACTTTATTGTTGATCATAAAATCGGTGCTTTTGAAATCGGCGTGGACACAAAAAGAATGTTTGGGAAACTTTTTAGTGTGTCTAATTGCCATCGAGAGATTAGCATTCGGATTAACGATGATTTTTAATAAAGAATGCAATGCATGATTGTGTTCTTAAAGACATTTTTATACTTTTATAAAATGTGGTAGATCTGTGCGGATTTAAAAAATGTATCTACAGGGTGAGTTAAAAGTGGAAAATATTGTTAGGATGCAGAATTTAAAATTATTTTAAGTATACAGAGTGGCTCAAAAATGCATGGCGATTATTTTTTAAAAAAATGGATTTAAATTTAATTTTGAATTCGTTTTGAAATTTTTGAAAATTTTGTTTTTCTATGTAATAATAGTTTAAACAAATGCAAAAAAAATCCATAACGTTATTATATTTGGTAGCAGCGCTATTCGAAGATGACATAAAAGATACAATACTCGGAATTTGAATTTGAAAGAAAAGAATAGGTATGTTTGTATAATTAAAAATTGAAAAATCTCAATTTTCTTAAATTGAACACCATATACAATAAAAATGCAACTTTAATAGAATATATCATATATCTATTTTTAACACTTTGCGATTTATTTTAACTTTTTCAATATTTACCTTTCTTTCTGCCTAAGACTGCGTATATTATATTAGTTCGCAATGACAAAAGTATAAGCCAACAGGGCTCTGTTAAGACCAAAAGACGAATATAAAAAAGAACTTTTGGTGAAAATATCGGCCAAATTTTAAATTCACAGAAAACACAAATTATATTAATAACTACTTAATAATATTTTTTTTTAGAAAATATGCCCTTCTACTTGGATACCTATGTTTAGTCTTATAAATAAATGCTGAATTGATAAGGTACGGTCAGCACAGAAAAGTTAATCAAATAAGATACGCCAGTCATGAGGTAAGATCAGAAGAACACAGATTAGAGAATTTTCTGAGAGATAGCAGAAGATCAAGAATTGGAAAAGTTACTAAGTCTCATCCTGAGTTGTAAGACCAGGAAAGAAGAAGAAGACTTAAATGAACCTATAGAAATCGTTAAGTTGATGCCAAGTTAATATTGTTTTAACATTTTAAAACCAAATAAAGTTTAGTTGATTTTATTACAATTCAGAGAGGTAGCTAGCTGACTTGCAAAATACAATAAAAAAATAAAGGATAAATAAAGTAGTTAATTGGATAAAAATGGTCACTCATATGATGAGCACTAAAACGAAACAATAACTTGACGCTACATATGCAAGGTGCATGATGGATGGCAGCTGACCTTTTTTTTTTTATTAAGAAGAGAAAATTTAAACATTGAAGCCATAAGCAGATCATCCAATCAACCAACTACTTCATATTGTGCCATTATGTCGAACCAATTTGGTATAAGGAAAAGATAAAATGTAACGAACTCTTTAACACGCAGTATGTATTTTGATAACTAAGCATAGAGACTTTTTGCGTTAATTTTAAAACTTTAACTGTTTAAGTTATGTGGCGAGAAAGTAAAACCAGGCAAAATCTAATTTATTATTTATACATACATACATACATAATAATCATCTGGACAAATATACAAATAAAATTTTTGAAATAACTTGGGTAAATAGGTATGTATTTTTAATCTTTTTTGAAACATTTCTGCAAAAAAATACAAACTGCCATTTTTGCCCATAAACATTTTGAATTTTCAAGTATATCAGTCTGTATGTCCTGATGTTTCGTAGGTTTTTTGGAAAGTTTGATTATTATAATTTTTTTTTAAATTTCAAATGGTACTATGTAAAGTAACAAACATCGAGAAAATCCCACTATCCCATTTCTATAAATGAGCAAGTACAATACAAGTAACTTGGGATGTCACACATGTATTTCAAGTTGTTCAAGTAACCTTGCATTTTTCTGGTATAGTTACTATTGTATAATTGTTTGTATAATATGTCATGTAATTATAATTATTGAAAATTATTTTTCGCTTTTTCACTTTCACTAAAATGCGCCATTAATTAGGCTGCTACAAACTGAACGTCCTACCTACGGAACAAAATCCGTTTCAGGGCGTAAACAGACAATATTTGGAAAATGACACGCTTTGGCGTGCTTAATCAAGTTTACTGCCCAAAAACCATAAACCAAACAAAATCAGTCAGGTATAAAGAGCGAGAGGGTGGGGAATGATGGATGAGCCAACACGAGTGCCAGAAAAGTTAACATTTCTTAACCATAATTTGTCCCAACAACAAATCGGGACTAGTAACGATGGCGGAAGATAGAAAAATTAGAAAACCACTTATAGAAAAGAAGAGACGTGCAAGGATAAACGAAAGTTTGGAGATACTAAAAAATATATTGCTCGAGTGTGATCCGGAAGTTGCTAATCGGGGCGCACATAAAAGTGCTAAATTAGAAAAAGCTGATATCCTGGAGATGACCGTCAATTACATGCAGAGGATGCGGGCAAGTGTGAGACAAGGAAGCATGGATTACCATCTTGGTGCGAACCAGAGCTACGCGTTTGTCCGATACAAGCCTCAGTTTTTTAATTGTCCACCTAAACAACTGTATCGATCGGGAATCTTTCAAACCCATGCCGGAGGATATCATGAGATGAACGGTAGCTCGCAGGTGATTCCGAAGATCTCATCGCCGCTGGACTGTGTCGACTCTTTTGTGAGATCCGGACCATTTTGCCCGGTAAAGGTGGAGATGATTTCGCCCCCTTCCTCGCCGAATTTACACAATGGTGATATGAAAGTGTGTAACACTTCAAACGAGCCTGTACCGGAGGATGTGTGGAGGCCCTGGTGAGTTACGCTAGAACAGTTTGGATGGACTAAGTTTTATTTAATGATGTTAATGGTTTTGTAAATATGCTGTGATAATTAATAGGTATATGGGTAGTTATTGTATAAATCGATAAGTGTATATATTGCGTATATATTTTGAAATGTTATGTATATGTTTTGTGTTGCCAAAGAAAGAAAAATTATGTTTAATGCCATCTAAATTGTTTTACTTTAGCAGCCTCCAAATATCCCGAATAGAAGGCTAACCATAAATAATTTTTTTTATTTTCAAACTCGATTTTATATTAAAACTTAATCCATGGACACATTTGACCTAAAATTTACAAAGTTTAGTAGAGTGACTGTAATTACATCTCGATTACTTTTTGAACAATTTGATAGCTGCGATATCATTTTCTCACTGGTTTTCAGCCATGCCACTTTTATTAAATCTGCATTAACACAATAAAATTCAAATAACCAACAACTTAACTTTCACAATAATAAAAATTAATAACACTTGCGCAACATTAAATTTCGAAGAAATATTTTAACAAAATAACCATTATATTTCTAAAAGTGAATATAATTAAAAAAATATATAATTAGTGATCTCCGCTAATATTATTAAAATGTTAACAGCAAAGAGTGAACGGGATGTAGCAACAAAATTTAAAATGTTGCACCCTAGTAAATCAATACTTTCTTACATTTCAAAATAATTAAAACGTTGATGGTATTATATAGTCATGTTTATTATAAGGATCATTTGTAACATCACTAGTAAGCGAGAAACGAATAGCAAAAAAAAGCAATAAAATTTTCCTGATTTATTCGGTCAAACTTTTTTGTCACTAAACATGTAATAATGTACTAAAATACACATCGAAATAAAATAAACATAAATTGCTAATAACGTAATTTTGACTTTGTCTTCATCGGTTATCTGACTTTTACCTCCAAATTTTTTAAATAATATTTTGAATGAAGCAAATTAATTATTTCTTTTGTAACTGAGGTTATAACTAAAAAGCATACAGATGTGGCGTTCTATTAAATTAATCATTGTTATACTTGTCAAGGGTCAAACAATTAAATCTGATTTTAGTTAATTTTTGGACAACTCGTAATATTGGCAAGTCTTTTAAAATAATTAAATTAGTCTTCTCGAGTAGTCAAATGATTTAAAAAGTTTAGGCAACTGCGGTAAAGGGCATTTGACTCACGAGTTTATTTGATGCGAACGGAGCAACTTAAAAAGTTTACCAAACGTGTTGCATACTATACTTTTTCTACGACCGTTAGTTTTTGGGTACATTTTCGCAAAACAATACGAATACATTCACTGACATGACCGTCAGAATTGACAAACGTCACAATCCAAGCAGTGCGGTAAAATCTCCGAAAACATCCGATTGCTTCCAAACCCGTGCGGTAAAATCTCGGAAATGTCCATGGGAAAAGAAAAAGAAGTGGTAAAGTCTCGCTTTCCGCACGTTAGATCGGTATGTAATTAAGCATTTTACAAACGGGAGTAGAAAAAAAAACTTTTTTTTTGGATAATCCGTATAATACGATGATTATACAGAGTATATAATCATCTTATATGTCCCAAAAGTGAGCGTTTTGATTACAAGATAGCGTATAATTCCTGTGTGGAGTAGCATCTTTAAGCAGTCGAAGAAAAATTTATAGCAGTATCTGAAAAAGTTTATCAAACTTTCCACGTCCATTAATTACTTTATTATGTTGTTATCCTACTACTAATGCTACAGCTGAATATTACTTTATTTCGTACCGTTATTTAATTACAAAAATAAATATTAACCACTAACAGTAAGTACGGCTTGGTCAGAAGCTAAATTTCTAAAGGTGCTCCCACCTCAGATGCCCATCTATATGTACCCACAATTACCTTATTTCTCCCTGCTATCAAAAGTAAATTCTAAGAAATTCCGGTTTTATTTTGGTGGTACAACTAAATATGACAAATTTTGTTTTGTGGTTTTAATTATCAATAGTTTGAAATGAAAGTAATTACTTTAAATATTTTAATGTTTCTTCTGCAATTATTTTAAGCTCTATTCAGTAATCTGGTGGAGGATACCACGTATACATGCTATTCTGTTAGGAGGGCTTAAATTATCTTCTGGGGTAAACCAGAAGTAACAGATCGTAATGTACTCAACTTATCTCCAATCAGGATTGTCTTGTTTTCTCTCGGTTAAATAAGTTTTAAATAGATTAAGATCGCGAGGTTCAATCATCTGTCGCTGTCGAAGACTTTATCAAGGTCTACGAACAAATAAACACGGATTAACAATTACAAATTGACAAAATTGACGACTCTAAAAAAGCCCTTATCACATTTTTACGGCATAGCAAAAAAACGAAACTCTGCAAACTTTTTAAACCCTTTGCAATCGGCTCGCAATAAAATGTTAACGAAATATACGCCGACAATGGTAAAGGGTCCGCTAACCCCTTGTAAATATTGCAGTACGGTTGCAGAAATTTTATAACGCAATGCAAAATTGTGCTCTATTTCGTACTTTTACTTTCACCCCCTTGGCGCACAACGTTGCAAATTGTTTTATTGCCCGTTTACCTCTTTATATTGGACTTTAAATCCTTTCACCAAACGTAAAAGGGTTCCCCGAGATTTTATCCCAGGCTAGTCTTGTTATAATACTTTGGGGGCGTTCTGTTTTCAATCGGAAAGGCTAATATTTACAAATATCATATTTTCATAATACCGGAGATTCAATTTATTAGGAATGAGAAAAGGGTTATTATTATTAACGCAAATTTCATTGAAACAGTTAGCCCTTTCACAATAAGTTAAGGCAGAATTACTTAAGACTTAGATGAGACGTTACTTTTATTTGCAATTGGTAATTTGCGAAACCAAATGTTAATTATAAAAGTTTGATAAACGCCAATTTAGCCACTAGTTTGATATGTCACGAGTAAAAGCATAACGGAGTGAGTCTCTATTTTGTACAAGTTTTCGGGGACATTTTTGGAAAACTGCACGAAACAGCAGAGTTGAGAAAAGGCTACCGTGGGATGGCTAAAATCTACAGAAAACATCCAATACTTTCAAAACCCGTGACTAAAGCACCGAAAACGTTCGAAGTGGTTAGTGGTATCTCAAAAACTAGTCGTCGTCTGAACTTGCTGGAAAAAAAATATTATGGAACTGGGCAAAGAAGACAGCGGGAAATATATTCAGATTTCTATGATGATCGCCAGCTGTCACCTCAACATTTTAAATTGTTGAACATTGTAACACTTTAATAAAGTAAAACAACATAGGGGATTTTTAACGAACTTAGTCTTGTTGGAAAAAGCATGTATTGCTGTATTACACCGAATTTCATCTGTGTTATGTTAGTGGTGTCACTAGAGCGCGCTTTTTGATAAAACAGAAAATTTCAAAATTGCTAAAAATATTAAATTCAATAATTTGATGTTTTTTATTACAATATAATCATGTGGATGAAAATAAAAGTCAGTTATCAAAAAATTCTGAGAAGACACTATAACACCGATATTTATTGTTAATATATGCTTTTCATGATTTTACACTTCTCAAATTCAAAATTAAAAAAAAAAAATTAGACAGAATCAAAAATTCTTTGATCAGCATAAACAAAGCACAAACGAAGAAGTTTAGAAAGCGTGATGCATACTATATTTTTTCTATATTTACCACGAAAAAAAAAAACGATTAAAGGAGCTGCCTGATGAATGCAGAATCACACGCCCAACCATCAGAGCTGATAATCGTCAATATACCAATATTTTAAATATATACTGATCGCCCCCAACTCGTGACTAAAGTACCGGAAATGCTCGAATTAACTCCCACGGTGTGGATTTTGACGTTTGTCAATTCTGACGTTTATGTCGGTGAATGTATTCGTGTTGGTTTGCAAAAGTATACCCAAAAACTAATGGTCGTAGAAAAAATATAGTAGGCAATACGTTTGGTAAACTAATTAAGTGACGCGTGACTCAAATGTCTTTTACTGCAATTGTTGCATAATATACAATTTTTACCCGCTTCTGTAAAATACCCAATTATACACCGATCTACCCAAGCTTATTTGGAAAGTTTAGGTTAAAAATACTAAGAGATTGTCGAATTTTCATTGTGTTAATTTTTTGTTTACCCAACTTCTCGGTCTAACTTTAATTTGATATGGTGTTGTTTGGTCCATACAGGTCGCGCGATTTCTGACCTTTGGATTTCACTCCACATTGTCTGTTTCCTATGTTCTTCAACTCTAACGTCTAAAGGTCTTCTGTTTCTCCAATGTATGACCTGTGTATTCACGGAGTATTTGATGGATACACTTTTTTTTACTTTGTTCTTGTAAGTATGCTCCTTAATGTCATTACGGACCTGAATACAATCTCAACTTTGTATTGTTTTGCTATTCGACTGATCTTTTCGGAGATGTCCTTCAGGTATGGGATCGTCAAGAGAGGGAGAGGACTACTTCACATCGTTCGACAACCTTTTAGTATTTCTACTGAATCTTTGTCTACCACCTTCAAGCGAAAGTTTTGGTTAGGTTTTTGTTGTAAAATCTGGGTAACGCGCATAATGTTGGATAATTTTCGAATTAGGGATCAGTAAACTCGATCATGTAATCAAATTATTGAAAAATTCAAATTTCAAACTTGTGGAAGTATACGAAACTCTCTATTAAACATTTAGAAACGGGAGTTGCAATTGACGATTTTTTCCCTGCCTCCCTATACTGTCTATCCTCCGGTATAACATTATACGGAAAAAACATATTTACTGCCCGAACATGTTTGTGGCTTCCGGCCGCATTGACGCTATTTCAAGCGATTAATGTTATCATAATGAATCGATAAATCGAGGTCGGCTACCGCCTTTGGCGACTACGTGAAGAAACGTTTATTAGTTGGTGCTGACATCTCAGCAGAGACCTTGGTTGCAGCTTAACATTTGTGTTACTGGGTGTTAATTTGGCAACTTTCTGG